GCCGCAATCCCTTCTCCTCCATTCTCCTCTCGGGATCTTGGGCACGCATGTACACACCCCCAGCGTGAGTTTAAGCCACCGAGTCCGGGACGTGAACCGCCGTTGACTACGTGGGAGTCCAGCGACACAGCCATTACGCTAACTGCTGGCTCCCCTAAATGCTCTTTTCTACCTACTTTGACTGTGGCTGTGGCTTTATTTTGCACCTCGGGTCAGGTCTCTGATTTCAGTGATGTGGACCCGAAGAACTGAGGACTTCACAGCACAGCTCAGCACTCCTGTCCTGTGACGTCCCAGTGGGTCCTGGCTACCTGTACACCGTGACTCCTCCAGGTGGGAACCCCTGCTCCCCGCTGACACCTGCCCGTGGCTGCCTGTTTGTCTGTGGGACAGGAAGCCTAGCTCTGCCAAGGCTGAACTCACTGGGACTTTGCAGCGAGGTCTGCTCTCTCTCTACCATTTGGGTGGTTGCGTCCGACTCGCCAACGCTGTCTGCCCCTCAGTTCTGTCCCCGTGGCATTGCGAGTTCCTCTTTCTCATGCTCCAAGTCCCCACATGCTCATATTTTTCTTTTCTATTATATAAAAAGAAATTTTGTTATTATTCTTTAAAGAGATTTTTGCCTTAGGGTATGTACTCTTGCCAGAGAGAGACAGAGACAGTGAGAGAGAAAGTGAGAAGTCGGCCTGGGGGTGGCCACACCACAATCCCTTCACTGTTCTCCTCTCAGGGTTTTGGGCACACACGTGCACACGTGCCCAGCGTGAGCTTTAGGCCTCCAGGTCTGGAGCTTGACCCGCGGTTGGCCATGTGGCAGTCTAGCAACATAACCATTATGCCACCTGCTGGTCCCGTCATGACGCATTTTACATCCGCATGGCTTCTCTGACAGCCCAGTGTTACTCTTCTTTTTTGAAGAATTATTTGTTGGCTCATGGGTCCCATGTCCCTGTGGCGCGCAGCCTTAGTGGCGTCGGTGGAACGTGGAGGGATGGAGGGGGTCCGCGGCAGCAGCGGCGGCTGCCAAGAAACGGCGGAGACCATGGTGGACATGGCAGCTGATCACTAAGCCGCGGAGGCCGAGCGGCACCCCCCAGGGCCGGACGCCGGCCGGGAGGGATTTGAAAAGGCACCGCTGGCTTGTCAGTTGGCTGAGTCCGGGTCTGGGCTGGGTTCCACTGCCTCGACGAGAAGCTTCCTCCAGTGGTCAGAGACAGGCTCCGTGGTGTTTAAGCCAAGCCGCTCCAGCTGGAGGGGACAGGGGCCTGGGGCTTTCCTCCCGGGTCCCCGCGCCAGGCCTGAGCCAAGCTGCACGCTGCCAGCCCGGGAGTGGGGGCCTGGGCAAGTCGCGCCCGACCGCCGCCATCCTGCTGGGGCTCGCAGCCCTACTCTGTGCTCCTGTGGCCTCTGCCGCCACCGCCTTGCGGTGGCCCGCAAGGACCTGTTGTCGCCCCGCTGTCCTGTGTGGGGACATGGAGGAGTCCGACCCGGTGAGGCCCCAGGATTTGTCTGAGCCCCCCGACTTTTGAGCTCTGCTTTTGGTTGGATTAACACGTTGGCAAGGCCACTGTTGTGAACCTCCCGACCTTGGAACAAAGCTTGGGTCAGTTAGCATGTCAGCAAGGCTGTTTGCTATTTGTTTTAGAGAATTAAGGCAGCCTCACTGGGAAGCGACTCCCCTTTGGCTCTTTAATATACTACTATAAAAGAATTGTATAGCTTTCTTATACATCTTGAGTGTATGATAAAAATTTTTTAGGAAGTCTCTCAACTGACAGCTCTTTTTTGCTCTGATTATTTACTATTAATTACAATGCTTTATTTTTATGGTTATAATAGAGGGTGGGCTGAAGTTTTTTTTAGGCAAAAGTAATTTTGACTTTTAAAAGGCTCTTAAATTTTTTTTTTTTATGTAAAATAGGATTAGGCCAAAATTGGCCCAGGACACTTTTGCCCTTTTTAAGTGAAATAAATAAATATATTAGGATTTTTTAAATTAAGTTTTAGATCTCTATAAAACTGTATAAGTATTATTTTTTATTAAAATCTATAAAAACTAATATTTATTTTTGAAAATTTTTTTTAGCACTATTCTCAATAATTATAAGATGGCTCTTGCGCCGCATTTGTTTACTAAAACGGCTTTTTTAAAACTGCATTCTATGGAGACCCACCTATAATTAAAAAACTGCACTAGACCCACCCTTAATCCACCCCTAAATAGGAATTACACTAGACCCACCTTTAATCTAACCCTAAATAAAATCTTTGTTCTTTATTGTTAAAAACTTTATGAGCTGTTAATTGAAACACTAGCCCCTCTCCCTTTACTTGCATGTAACACGTTTTCAATAAAAACGCACAATGATTCCTAGCAGTCGTCACTCCTTAGAGAGCAATCTCTGAGGGGTGTCCGGCATAGGACGTGCATAAAAGGCATCGAGGCCTCTGTCTTCTGTTCACCTTCGCCACCTTCGTCGAGATAACCCACCCACGCCGAGGCTAGACCCCGGCAGGGACACCCAGGAGTGGGACCGCTGGACCCTCACCCGCTCTGTCCGCAGGTCTTTGAACGACCTCCATACTGTGGCCACAGCCCTGCTACCTCCTCGTGGCCCCTGGACTGAGACCCACCCGGTCCCAGAGTGTGCCGAGGGCTCTGTCCCCACTCCCTCCACACCCCTCCTGCCCCAGGACACTCCAGGCCTGGCCCAGCCTCCCCACAGGGCCCCCCAACCTGTGCATCCCTGCGGCAGGTGCTGTCCCCCCAGGGCCCTCTGTTCCCCTTGACCTTTCACCCTGCTTCCCCACGGAGGAGCCGGAGCAGAGGAGGGGTCAGAATCGCCCTGGGGAGACCCCCAGACCCTGCAAGGCCACCAGGGCCTGTATGCCTGTGGCTAACGAGGACTGGCAAAGGCCAGCGTGTCTGTTTCTGGTGTCCCAGCAGCACCACGGGCACCACGCCCGAGGGCAGCCCACGCCCTGTTCTGTCCTGTCCCTGTAGTTGCCGGGCTGGCCACTCCCTGCCTGACTCCACATTCCTGCCCGGGCGAGGCTGCCTCCCACCTGGCACCTCCCTGCCGGCGCTGACCTCCCTCCCACCCCGCTGGCCCTGTGTGGTATCCTGGTCCTGGCCTTCACTGGGCCTGGGGGCCATGGTGTCCACAGGGCCACGAGGTGTCTGCCAGGATGGACGAGCTTCCCTGGGAGAACTCTGGTGGCAGGGCGTGACCATCCTCTGGCCTGGCAAGAGGGACATGGGGGACACTGGCCTTGCCTCCCCCATGAGGGTGGGCCATGGGCGGCCCTGCCTCCAGCGGGGACTTCAGGACAGGAGTGGGGACTTCCAGGAACTGCATCTCCTGGGCCTGAGCTCGGTGTCCAGGCCTAGGGGCTGACCCTAGTCTCTTTGGGGGCCAGGGTCGCCCAGGACACGAGCAACCCAAGGGTGACGGGGGTAAGGCCATCTCCCACCACAGGAGGGCCAGACCTCAGTGACCCAGGCTGGGCTGGGCGATTCCATAGGGGGAAGGCCAGCAGGCGAGTTCTGCGCGCTCTCACTTGTGGGGCATGGGCTCTGAGCTCTCAGGCAGGCAAGGGCTGGCCACCCCTCTGCCATAGCCAGCCTCTTCCTCTCTGGTGGTCCCCTCATACCGGCGCAGTCTGGCCCTGGACAGGCCCAAGCCTTTCTGGCTCTAGCTGGGTGGCCTGTGTGCAGTGCGTGGGCAGTGGGGGGTGGGCAGTGGGGGGTGGTGGTCACAGAGGCCAGGCCAAGGGCTGAGGCCACCCCGGCCTCCTGTGTGCTTCTCCCTGGGGACCTGGGAAGCAGCAGTCCAGAGATGAGGTAGGGTGGAGTGCCTGGGAGTTTGCTTCCCCCCTGCAGGTACACACGGGCCCTGCACCCACCACGTGAGGGGTGAAGGGTCTAGAGGCCCGGTGGGCCCTGGTCATGCAGGCTGGGGTGGGGCTGTCCTGGGTCTAAGTGGAGGCCGCGGCGGGCCACAGCTCTCGCCAGCCCCGGTAACAGGTCTTTCTGCTCCTGTCTCAGGGCAGTTCCGAGCTGCAGGAGCCTCGCCTCCCCGATCCCCTGGGGTCTGGGGGAAGTGGGGGACCACCTGGAAGCCCTGCGGTCCCCAGAGCCGTCCCTGACAGCTGGGCTGGCCGGGCCAGACTCTCTGCCCTGGGCTGGGGCTACAGACTGAGAGGAGCCCTCACCTTCCAGCCGTGGGCCACATGATGGCCTGGCTTGTATTTGTGGGTGGGAGGGGCTTTGGTCTCCTGCAGCCCTCCCCACCCCGTTCAGGAAGACAAGCTCCCTGTGGGCCCCCAGGGAGACCCCAACCCAAGCACACAAAGACCCCGATTGTCCACCTATCTGCATCTGAGAATGAGGTCTGAGGAGCCGTGTGGTGCCCAGGACTGGCGGTGGCAAGGGCACAGCTTCTCTGCCTGGGGACTGTCCCCTGGGCCTGTCTAGCCCGGCACCTGCAGCCCACGCCAAAGGACAGGGACAGCGATGGGTGGCCGCACCCCAGAGAGGGGTTCACCACACCGTCCCAGTGGCTCAGTCCCTGTGTGAGTGAGGAAGCTGAGGCTGGCCTGCGCAGGCAGACCAGCCCCTACACTAACTCAACTCGCCCCACCCTGCCCTGGCCTCTCCCAGCAGAGGGCCGGGCCGAGCCAGCCCAAGTCCCTCCCTGGCAGCAGGGGCTGGCTTCCTGGAGCGGGCAGGCTGGACTGGGCAGTCGCGGGTGTGAACAGGGCTGGCACGGCCACAGCTGCACGCGCCTGCGAAGGTCCGACCTGGACCCTGGTCCCTCCCAGGCCCCACAAGGCCCAGTGCCGGCCAGAACAGGGGTGCGGGTGGCGGGGTGAGGGTAGCAGAGGGTCCAGCCTGCCGCAGCCGTGGGGGCGTGAGTCGCTGCCCACAGACCATGGCTCTGCTTGCCACGGGCCTGTACCTGGGGTCTCGCGCCTGCCTCCTCCTCCTCCTCAGCCTCGGTGAGCACCGGGTGGGTGCTGCCCAGAGAGGGAGGGCACCGGGGTCCTGGGGCAGGGCTGAGGGAAGAGTCCTGCTGTGAGCAGGTGGCCCGAGGCCCCCAGGGACTGTCTCGCACCCTGCCCGAGCCTCTGTGCTCCACGGGGCTGGAGACTGAACTGGGAGAGACGAGGGCTCCGCCAGAGTGGAGTGTCCACAGGCGGGCCTTGGAGCCCTGGCGTGCAGGACAGGCACGCTGCTTCATCACCTGGGGCCTCAGCCCTCCTCCCCAGGCCTCTCCTTGAGCCTGTCCCTCCCCCAGGGTGGGTGCAGCCTCTGAGGGCAGCCGCTGTAGAGACAAGACAGGTAAGATCCCCTCTGGGGCTCCGGGAGGGATTGGGTCTGCTTAGGGGTCTCGCCTGCAGGAAGTGGGGTGCTGGTCACACAGGGCCTGTCAGATGCGCTCGCCACACTCAGACTACCTGCTCACCAGGGTTTAGCTGGGGCAGAGCCCACACTGCTGGGAGCTGGGCGGACACCAGGAAGACCCGGGGCCCTGGGTGGACAGAGGGAGGACCCGGGTGGGGCTGTGGACGGAGTGTCACCAGGCCTCGGAGCACAGCCTGGCCCCTCCCAGCCTTCCCCAGAGCCTCCTCCTTGGCGTCACACGTGCGGCGGTGTCGGGCCTGAGTGCAGAGCGTGTCTGGGAGCTGGCTGTGGCCGGGGCGGGAGCATACCACACTCCAGGCTCATCAGGTCAGCTGGGAGGCCGGGCCTGCGGCACCCTCGAAGCCCCTCCTGACCTGCCGCCACTCTCAGAGCCCCTCTGGCTGCTACCCTACTGGGCCCAAGCGCTGGGGCAAGTCTGAGATGACCCGGCCTCACCATTGCCCTGGAGCCCTGGGGCCAGCCTCAAGGATGGTGCTGACAGTGACAGGACGCAGGGAGGCGGGGCAGGGCTGCGGTACCTGGGCCCGGGAGTGTCTCCCTGAGGGCTCTCAAGGGGCCGCGGCTCTGTGGTGGCCAGACTGGGGGCAGACAGGCACCTGGGCCCTTCCCCTGGGGCGCTGGTCTGGAATGTTCTGAGCCGCACTCTGGTCCCCGCTGCTGTGCTGTCTGGCACATTGCCTCTCTGAGCGCCATGTCCGCAGGGCGTGCTGCCCTTCCTCAAGGAGGCCCTGCACCCCTCCCCTACTGAGGCTCCCCCCCGAGACCTGGCCCAGATCCCAGCAGGGCAGCCTCAGGGCCGGCACGGGCCAGCACCCTCTCTCTGCAGCCTGGCTGCGTTCTCAGGCCCCAGGCCTGCACCTGTTTCTTCTCTCGGGTGGCTGAAGGCAATGTAAGTGTGCTCCCGCAGGGGGCTCCGGAGCGGCCCTGACTGCGGCCCGCAGCTCTGGCCTGGTATGGCTGGGCCTGGCGGGTGCTGGTGGTGGGCAGGACACAGCCCTGCAGGACACCGAGGCCAGCGTGTGTGCAGGGCGTGTGGGGGTCTTGGGAATGTGGCTGACATGCTGGCTCTGGGAGGCCTGGCTTATGACCTGCCTGGGCGCTTTGTGGCCCACTCAGAGAAGTTCTGCTACCCTGGCTGGCAGGCTGCCCAGGACCTCTGGACCAGGACCAGCAGGAGGCGGCCAGGGCAGCTGTGCTCGGGCTGGCCTGTGTCACTGTAGCCACACTGTGCGGCCCGGGGTCTTTGCCCCTTGGTGGCCCTGCCTCTGCCCGCAGGACCCCCCCCCCCAACGGGCAGTGCCGAGCCCTGGCTGTCTCTCGTCCTCTGTGTCCGGCTGCATTCGGGGTCCCTGAGGTGACACTGTGTCTGGACAGCCCCCCGACCGGGCAGCCCGTGTCTACCCCGGATGCCCTGCAGGGCCCGCTGCCCACACTGGACCAGTCCACCACCTGCAGCAATCCCACAGGTGAGCCCCTCCCCCTGTGGCTGCCCGCACGGCCACCCGATGCCCAGTGGGCCTCACTCTGTCTTCAGGACGTCATGTCTACGTGGCTGCGACGCACCGACCAGGACCCATCCCGGCAGCTGACGGCCGCCCTGCCGAGACCCCGGCGGGGTACCGAGAGTGAGCGCTGCCTTGCTCCTTCGGGCGTCATCTGGGGTGGGGGCTGGGCAGGGCCTCGCCCGCTCCCCTCCCAGCCTCTTGGCTCCTCTGGTGCAGCTGCCTGGAGTGGTGGGTGGGTACACCAAGGCCCATAGAGGGCACGAGTTGCCCAGAGCCCCGCTTCGGGTGCGTGGGGAGAAGCTGCAGGGACCGGCCTGGCCCTGACCTGCCCACCTCTGCAGAGAGGCCCTGCCCCCCAGGGCGGAAGGCCCTCGAGGTGGACGAGAACCTCGTGTTCTACGAGGAGTGGGACCTGGAGGCCTGTGTGGACGGCGCCCTGCTGGCCGCCCAGATGGAACGGGTGAACCAGATCCCCTTCACTCACCAGCAGCTCAGCGTTTTTAAGCGCAAACTGGACGAGGTAGTTCCTGCCCGATCCCCATGCCCGCTGCAGGGGTGGCTCACAGTCCTCACAGTTCCCCCCACTTCTGGCAGGTCTACCCACAAGGCTATCCCGAGTCCCTGATCCAGCGTCTGGGCTACTTCTTCTTCCAAATCAGCCCCGAGGACATCCACAAGTGGAATGTGACATCGCTGGGGACCGTGAAGGCTCTGCTCAGAGTCAGCCAGGGCCGGAGGGTGGATGCCCAGGTGAGTGCCAGCCAGGACACCCGTGGAGGAAGGGAGCGTGTCCCGTGCTGACACCTCATGGCCTCCCCTGCTGCAGGTGGCTGCCCTGGTCACCCGCTACCTGGGGGGAGGAGGCCAGCTGGACATGGACACTTTGCAGGCCCTGTCTGCCTTCCCGCCCGCCTCCCTGTGCCTGCTCAGCCCCGGTCAGCTGGGCCCCGTGCAGCCCAGTGTCCTCTGGTGAGTCACGGGACCTGTGGGCAGGTGGCTCTGCGTGTCCCCTGCTCACAGTTGCCCCACGCACCCCAGGGCTGCCAGACCCCAGGACCTGGACACGTGCGGGCCTCGGCAGCTGGCCACCCTTTACCCCAAGGCCCACCTGGCCTTCCAGAACCTGAGCAGGTCTGAGTACTTGGTGAAGATCCAGCCCTTCCTGGGTGAGCCAAGACCCTCCCTTGGCCCTACCAGGTCCCCGTTTCACTGGGCACCTGCTACTGGTGTGGTGGGACTGTCACTCCCCGAATGTGCGTGGGTGGAGGGACTGGAGGTTCTGGCCCCTGCGTGGCCTCCAGCCGCCCCAGCCTCCTGCTTACCCAAGAGTGCTGGGCTGATGCAGGCCAGGGACTTCCAGTTGCAGGACTCTGAGGCATGCGCGGGCCCTCTACCCCACAGGCGGGGCAGCCAGCGAGGACCTGCGGGCGCTCAGTCTGCAGAATGTCACCCTGACCCTGGCCACATTCAAGAAGCTGCGGACAGATGCTGTGCTGGTAGGAGAGGCGGGGCTCGGGAGGGAGGTGGGTGCTGGGGGTGGTGGGAGGCAGGGCCTCGGAGCTGAGCCAGCTGGCAGCAGCAGGCCACAGGCTCTGGAGCGGAGGGGGGGGTGGGGCAGGGG